AGACCCAAGTGGTAAACCAAGGAAACAAGCCTAAGTGCAATAAATGCCAATATCCACACTGGGGAAACTGCATCATCTGTCAAAGATGCCAAAGAGGAAATAAGGAACAAATGCTAACCAAGCCTGACCGGCCAATCAAGGAAACCCAGAAAGTCAAGCACGGGGTCGAGCATTTGAGATTGGAGCCAAGGAAGCTAGGTATGATCCCAATGTGGTTACAGGTACATTTCTCTTGAATAATGAATTTGCATTGGTATTATTTGATTCAGGGGCAGATAGAAGCTTTATATCATTAGATTTTAAGCCGAAGATTAACTTAAAGCCCCAAAGGTTGAAAGAAGCTTATATAATAGAATTAGCTAATGGTCAAGAAATTAAGGCTAAAGACATAATCATGGACTGCACACTAAGTTTAGCCAACAAGGATTTTAGCATAGACCTTATTCCAATTGAGTTAGGAAGCTTTGATATAGTCATTGGCATGGATTGGCTATCCAAAAATCGAGCTGAAATAGTCTGTTCAGAAAAGATTATCCGAATTCCTCAAAAAGGAAGTGACCCAATTGTAATTTGAGGCGACGAGATAGATCGAAAAATTAGGATAGTATCATGCATGAAGATGCGAAAGTATTTAAAGAAGAATTATGTCGCATTTTTGACACATGTTGTTGATAAGAAGGTCAAAGAGAAGTGTATTGATGATTTCTCTGTTGTTCGGGAGTTTCCTGATGTATTTCCTGAGGATTTACCAGGACTACCCCCGCCAAGACAAGTTGAATTCGATATCGACTTAATCCCTGGAGTTGCCCTAGTGGCAAAAGCACCATATCGATTGGCTCCATCAGAAATGCAATAATTGTCAGGTCAACTCCAAGAACTATTGGATAAAGGGTTCATAAGACCCAGTTTCTCACCATGGGGTGCACCGACGCTATTCGTCAAAAAGAAAGATGGGTCAATGCGAATGTGCATTGATTATAGGGAACTTAATAAGTTGACCATCAAGAATAGATACCCCTTTCCCAGAATCGATGATTTATTCCATCAACTCCAAGGTGTTGTATACTTTTCAAAGATCGATCTACGATCTGGATATCATCAAGTGATAATTCGAGAGGAGGACACTCCCAAGACAGCATTCATAACCTGATATGGTCATTATGAGTTTTTGGTTATGCCATTCGGACTAACCAATGCCCCAGCAGTCTTTATGGATCTGATGAATAGGGTTTGCAGACCATACCTGGATAAATTTGTAATCGTTTTCATAGACGACATACTGATTTATTCACGAAGTAAAGAGGACCATGAGCAACATCTGAGGATGATATTAAAGCTACTTTGGAACCAGAAATCGTATGCAAAATTCTCCAAATGCGAATTCTTGATTCGTGAAGTACAATTTCTTGGTCACGTGGTTAATGAAAAAGGGATTCAGGTAGATCCTGCCAAGATTGAGGCCATTAAGAAGTGGGAAGCCCCAAGAACCCCAACGGAAATTCGTCAATTCCTTGGCTTGGCAGGCTATTATCGGCGATTCATCGCAAATTTCTCAAAGATTGCACAACCACTCACAGCCTTAACTCAGAAAGACAAGAAGTTTGTCTAGGGAGAGGCATTCGAGACCCTTAAGCAAAGACTATGTAATGCACCTATCTTATCCTTACAAGAGGGTTCGGAAAATTTTGTGGTATATTGTGACGCATCACATCAAGGATTAGGATGTGTGCTAATGCAAAAAGATAAGGACATTGCATATGCCTCAAGGAAACTCAAAGTGCATGAGAAGAATTATACTACGCATGATCTAGAATTGGGAGCCGTAGTATTTGCACTTAAGATTTGGAGACACTGCCTTTATGGTACCAAATGTACTGTGTTCAATGATCACAAAAGCCTTCAACACATCCTCAACCAGAAATGTTAAATATGAGGCAGAGAAGATGGGTTGAACTGCTTAGTGATTACGACTGTGAAATCAAGTACCACCCCAGCAAAGCAAATGTGGTGGCCTTTGCTCTAAGTAGGAAGGAAAGAGTGAAACCAACAAGGGTGAGAGCGTTGGGAACAATAGTAAGCACCAGTCTAAAGGGACAAATTCTCGAGGATCAAAAAGAGGCATTAAGGAAGGAGAATTTGAAAAATGAAACTCTACACCACAAAGAGACTAAGTTTCAACTGAAATCAGATGGAGTTTATTTTGATCCTCTCTCTCAGTGATTTGATGATAATCCCTTTTTCCTTTCACGTTGTATTTATGTTTCTGTATTTTCAGTTCCAGCGATCATCACTGAGTATGTTCAGTGTTCGCTGAAGAACTTGCATTGTAAATTCATTAGAGACAAACAATACTTCAAGAAGACAACAGTCACACTGGGTATAAATAGAAGTGTTTCTTCTCTTTGCAGAGTGCGCGCATCACTCTCCAACCTAATTCTTACTTCAAGCATCCTCTAGCTTAAGTAAAGGATCTCTCTTATAGCATTCTCTTTTCTGTGTTTGCTATAGCTTCGTGTGTAACCAAAGATTGTTTAGATAGGTTTTTCATTACCTTATCTTTCCG